GTTTAATGCACACAAAACCAGTATTGAGGAGCACATGAGACATAGACTGTATGCTAGGATGTGAAACCCAAGCATCCAGACATGAGAGGACCTTAACAAGACGGCTAGGAAAGTCCCCTCTTCATCCCATGTACTACATGCCGCCTCGCCACGTAAGTCGTCTTGGTTTACAGGAGAGTTTTTGTTAACTCGGCGCTATCTGACTGGCACGGCTGGCATACGTTCCATCCTCCCCCCGAGTTTCTGAAATAGTACGTTACATCGGACGGCAGAAAGTCACACAAACAAGAATGTCAGCAGATCCAAGTCAAGATACGATGATACAACTTCAAGTTCACAGTCATGCTGAGTGGGCAATAACCATTCAAGGATTGTCCATTCTGAAGAAGATTTTCATGCAGGGCTATTAGATGTGCAGTAAAGAGATAAAGGAGATGCATAGCGAGCGGATGCAATGAAGAGAGATAGAGTAAAGATAAGAGTGTCTGAGAAGAGAGAAAATAAAAGAGAAGACGAGAGAAGTTTGCTCGCCAGCATTTGAAGACCAAAAGATAAATTTTTGAACCGTAAAGAACTTGTGACCAGAGATTGCTGCCGCGAGATTGGAACATCCGTTTCAAGGCATCTGAAGATAATTTGCAGTTGTACCTTGTTCGCCGATCCAGAAGTAGCTCCAGTTATGCATGCCACAGCCTAGCTCCATGACATGAAACTTCCGCCAGATCTCCTGGTAGTTCCATGTGATCCTACTCAAAGATCAAGAAAATAAGAATCGAATCAGCTTCAAGTGCGTTTCCACACGGTTAAGCAGATATTCGACCGACCAATCTGGCTGGGGAAAGGCTTGTTTTTCCTATTCGAAGATCAATCAAACAAATTGAGGCTGGGATGAGAGGCCTAAGCAACTTGCGGCTAGAGAGAGAGCCTGATTGAAGAGAAGAGTCATCCGAATGTGTAAGGCTTGATAGAAAGTTGCATGAATTTTCAACAGTAACGGAAAACAATACCAAGAAAGAAAAAACTTCAGTAAACAATTCAACTAACCAAATATAAGATCAACATGATTGAGCATGTAATCGGGGCCCATAACCGACGGAATACAAGTTTGTTAGACTTGTACTAGTCCAAAGTCACGCAGATATCACATCGACCTTAGTTGTAACAAGACAGTTTTTGCTCAAGACCGAGTTTAATGCACACAAAACCAGTATTGAGGAGCACATGAGACATAGACTGTATGCTAGGATGTGAAACCCAAGCATCCAGACATGAGAGGACCTTAACAAGACGGCTAGGAAAGTCCCCTCTTCATCCCATGTACTACATGCCGCCTCGCCACGTAAGTCGTCTTGGTTTACAGGAGAGTTTTTGTTAACTCGGCGCTATCTGACTGGCACGGCTGGCATACGTTCCATCAGCAGTGGCCGGCGCGGCTGCCAGGTCCCCGCGTCCGACTCATGGTGACCCCGCCGCGCCGCGCGCCGCGGCGCGGCGGCGCGGGCCGCCCGGGCCGGGCGCCGCCCGGCCCGGCCGCGCGTACCGTACTACCGTACCATCACGGAGCCTCGGGGTCCGATCACGGCCGTGACTGCGCGGCAGGTGTCACTGGGCCACACTGAAGCCTGACAGTACTCCAAGAGGTGGATTAAAGCCTTTTTCAAGTCTTGAGTTGAGGTGGCCGGCAGTCTTTTTTCCGTCACGCCCCGGCGCTGCGGTCGGCGCGGAGCTCCGCTCAGCCGCTTCGAGGACTTTACTCAAAGTTAAGTTAAAAATCAGTACGAGGACAATCAGGAGAGTCGAGGAGGCTTGACCCTAGTACGGCGGCCCGTCACGCCAGTGACTTGGCAGGTTAATCGTAGGCTGACTATCATACCGTACCGTCGTGGCTGTGATCGGACAGGTTTGAAGACGGTTCAATGACGGGATCATTATTTTAGTTCAGTAAGTTATCTCCGAAGTTCCGGTACCAGAGTATTGTTACTCATCAAGTTCCGGTACTAAGACTAGCAGCAGGCTCTACTGCGCCGCGCCGTGCCGCCGGGCATTCCGTGACAGAAAAAAAACTTAAAATTGTTTTTGATTATTATCAGTCAACAAGTTACGTGTCCTGATGAAGGTAGGGGTCCTTGTCCACTATAAGGGGAGGGTACTTTCACGTGCAGTGACGGGGCGGTGCAGGGCTGCTGTGATGACGGGGGTGGGGGTGGGGAGGGTACCAGTGCACTGTGTGTGTAAAGCGAACTGAAGGGTACACAGGTGAAAGGCACTAACAAGGGGGGTAGGGGTAGAGGAAAGCAACAAGATGGGGTGAAGAAATGACTAGTAAGTTGGGGTGATAAGCGTGAAATAGTACTGGGTACCCCTAATGTCGCTGTGTCCAAAAGTGTGTCCGATCTGAGAGGGTAGGGTGGTGCAATTGAAAGGATTGAAAATGGCGAGGCTGGGTATGGCGATTGCGGTGGTAGTGGCGGCAGTGGCAGTGGCAGTGGCTATAATGCCAGAGCTTCTACTTATGATTCCTAATGGTTTCATGCTCTGGGGATTGTTGGGTTATGAGATGCCGCCTTATTTTGATAGGACTCCCTTCATGAAGGAGGAATTCGGAACGTGGACGAAGCCTGGCGATGTGATTATCTCGGTTGCATCCAAGTCCGGCACGACTTGGATGCTATTTTGTGCTCACCAGATACGAACTAAGGGTTCAGACGAAATTCCTTTCGAGGACGTAAACATCGCTACCCCTTGGATAGGAAACAAGCATCTTCCTGGTCAGACTTGGCAACATTTCAAAGAGCTTTTGAACACGACTGTCTTGGATGATGGGAGTATGTTGAAGGACCACTGGGACAATAAGGCGTATCCCTTCAGAATTTTCAAATCTCACTTTGGCCCAAAGGTTGAGAATGGCTCTTTGGATGATGTACTCCCTGTGAAGGATTACCCCGACGTGAAATTCATCGGGATGGCAAGAAATAGCATGGACGTTGTTGCGAGCTTCTACACGTTTTTTGCCAAGCACAGACCCGAGTTCAAGAAGATGTGGGGAGGATTCCCTCCCTCTTACGAGGATAAGATGACCGCCCTGAAAGACTTCCTCCCTGGAGGGCTGCTGGAATACCTCTACTTCGGCTATGTGAAGTCATGGTGGAAAGTACGCCATGAGAAGAACGTGCTTCTTCTTCATTACTCAGACATGAAGAAAGACTTGGATGGTGGAGTTCGCAAGCTCGCTGACTTCTTGAACGTCAAGCTGACAGACGAAGAGCATGCTCGAGTGGTGCAGAAATGTCAGTTCTCGTACATGAAAAAGCACGAGGACAAGTTTAATTATCGGCTATGGTCGAACAAGTTATACCCCAACGCATCTATCATGTGCGGGTCGACATTCTGTGATGAGAGCGTAAGAGGGTCGGTCATCTATAGAGGGAAGTTGGGCGACGGGGGAAAGCACTTCACTCCTGAAATGCTGCGACTATGGAATGAAGCCGTCATGTCGGAATTCCCCGACGAGGAGCTGAGAAATTGGGCTGAAAATGGATCAGGCTGAGTGTGTGGATTGATGACCTGTCATTGTTTTATAGCAATTCTTTCGCAGAACAATATGTTCATGGTAGCACTTATCACTCCGATAAGGAGGGTTAGGTAGACGTAAGGATACACTGCGTGTGCCAGCGATTTGGGTCCGAGCTGATCGAAAACGTTTTGAATGAATCCGACGCTCTCTTGCTGCTGCAATATTCATACTTGTTTCGAACTTCACTGTGGCTGAAGCTTTGAAAGAACTTCACGTACGGCTGCTGGGATTTGTGTTCCGGGTCCTTTGAGGAAACCACGGGTCAATGCGCAGAAGCGAATTAGAGAGGGAAAGCTCACCGAAGACAGCAACGGCACCTGCCTGATAGAGCATGTCGTAGTCGCCCTCAGGGATCACTCCTCCAACAACAACCTCCAATCACCGGGTCAAGACCTGGCTATCACACTCTGTTACCGTTCGACACCTTTGGAGCAACTTTGAGCCCTGCAGACTTGGAAAGCGTTTCTAGTTCCTTGACCAATGCGGGAACAAGAGTCCTGACATGCACGATAAGCAGCAAGATTACTACCTTTCAGTGCTCTACCTGTGACCTGCCGCTTGAGTTGAAATTCCTACGACATGTACATCAGCGTCCAAGGCCTGTTGGATCGATCGCTCAGGTCCATGTCAGTTATCAGTCAACGTTACCTGAACAGCGACTTCATTGGGTGTCGCAAACAGAGATCCAATGTCCACGTCCCATCCAAGATCAGCGAAACCACTGGCAATAACCTGAAAACAAAGAGATCGATCATCAATGACATTCTCTGAGAGAGAAGGTTACAATACCTTCTGTCCTCGGTCATGACCGTCTTGTCCCATCTTTGCAACCAGAATTCTGGACAACAAGAAGTCAAGATTGGAATACTTCATGAAGTGAATGCACCTTGGTCGCCTTCCTGCCTCCTTTGCAAATTTGTCGACTAGTTCGCGAGTTTTTGTCACCTCATCACTGTTTCCGTATTCAGACGAATATGCTCCTAAAGAATCAGTCAACAAAATGGTCCTGAGCAACATACAACACGCTCAAAAATGCTTTGAACTTCGGGATGGTCTTGCTTTCGGACATGTTTCTTACCAACATTGATCTTCAAGCCTCCTTTGTGGCGACCAAAGATGTCAGCCAGGGTCTCAGAAATCTCTCCCAAAGTGGCCCGGACCTAAGATTGAACAAGATAATCAAGAGATGCAGTGCCTTGGATTTGCCCATTCGAATACCTTGGCTGCTTCCACACAACATTCCAAAAGATTGCGGGGGGGAGGCTCGTGCGCTCCAGATGCAGCAGTCTGAAATCACAAAAATCTTCAATGACCTTGACGAGCTGTTCGAGTTTCTTTACCTTCAAATCTGCCAACGCCTTATCAACCTTTGCTTGATCTCTGCTCGATTTCACAGAAGCGAGTTTCTTCAACTGATAGAAATGGGTCAAAATCCAATGTTAGAGAATAGTATATGTCGTTGCCTGAGATTCCTTGACAGCCTGGTTATCAATGATGAATGCATCAACCTTTTGCTCTTTCTATATGCAAATCTTAGCATTCACACTAGAAAAACTTCTAATTTAGCTACCTCAGGTTTATACTTGTTGACACCAACCACAACGTCAAGGCCAGCATCGATTCTTGCCTGATGATGTTCAGCTACTTGAGAAGAAAGCATGTTTTAAATATGAACAATCACCTGCTTGCGAGCAGCGCATTCTTCAATCTTCAATTTGGGCATTCCAGATTCGACTGCTTTTGCCATGCCACCCAGTGCTTCAATCTGTGTAATGCAAAGAGTAAAATTCGTAAAATGTATGTCGGCATGGAACCTCCTCAACAATTGCAAGTCCAGAATTATAGAGCTCCTGAGTCAAGGCCTCCATCATGTAGCTGCCCGCCCATGGATCAATGACTTTTGAGATTCCAGTCTCATGCCTGCACAGGGTTTAGATTTGTCGAATATGATCAATCGTAACTTACTGAAGAATAAGTTGCGTGTTCCTTGCAATTCGAGCAGAGAACTCAGTTGGAAGGGCAATGGCTTCATCAAACGAGTTTGTGTGAAGTGACTGTGTTCCACCCATCACCGCTGGATATCAGTCAGATTCAGGGCTTTGGCAAACCAGGTTTCACACACCAGCCATGGCCTCAATTGTTGTCCTCACAACATTGTTGTATGGATCCTGAGCTTGCAAAGAATAGCCGGATCTAGGCAAAAGTCAGCAGACCTTTGACACTGGTGGAGGGGCTACGTCTGGCAGTGAGTTCTGAGCAGAAGGGACTTCTCCTTCTTGGGGTTGAAGTATTTCTTCATCACGTGGGCCCAGAGCTTTCTTGCTGCACGGAGCTTTGCGACCTCCATGTAGAAGTTCATTCCGATACCAAAGAAGAAAGAAAATCTTGGAGCAAGGTCGTCCACACTCGCTCCCGCTGCCGTGCCACACCGCACGTACTCTATCCCGTCAGCAATTGTGAAACCCAACTCCAAGTGTGCGGGAGCGCCCGCCTCCTGCATATGATACCCGGAAATGCTGATAGTATTGAACCTCGGCATGTTCTTGGAGCAGTATCCCATGATGTCACTGATAATTCGTAGAGAAGGCTCCGGTGGGTATATGTAAGTGTTGCGAGTCATGTACTCCTTGAGAATGTCGTTCTGAATGGTTCCGGTGAGCTTTTCTGGTGTCACTCCAGACTCCATCGCTGCGACGATGTAAAATGCCATGACGGGAAGGACTGCGCCATTCATGGTCATACTGACCGAGATCTTGTCGAGGGCAATACCTGTAAATACTCATTCAAACAATCCAAAACGATGGAATTCATGCAACAACCATTGAAAAGCACTTTCATGTCTTCCACAGTGTCAATGGCCACACCAGCTAGGCCAACATCGCCCATGGCTCTTTCATTGTCAGAGTCGTATCCTGAGCATTACAAGTCACTTGACACACCGATGAAAGAATTTGTGAAAACCTCTGTGAGTGGGAAGGTCAAAAGCCACACTCAGTCCTTGCCCGCCTGCTGCGATACTCTTCTTGTAAAATGCATTGCTTGCTTCTGCAGTACTGAACCCAGCATACTGTCTGATGGTCCAAGGCTTCTGAGTGTACATGGTGGCATAAGGCCCACGAGTGAACGGATAGACGCCGGGAAGGTCTTCACTGATTTCCTTCATGTCAATGTCTCTGGGAAGGTACAGGGGCTTCACGTAGATGCCCTCAGGTGTGTTCCACAGAAGCTGGTTGCCTGGGTCCTCAAACCCTGTCTCCTTCTTAGCCAGCTTCGCCCATTTCTCAGGGAACTCAAAACTCTTGGTAGACAATCCACGGCGAGCAACCTGTCCCGCTTTCCACAGAGAACGCTGAGAGAGTCGAAGATAGGACATCTCCTAGTAGTGTTTGAAAGATTCGAATAAGATTTTCTCCTCTGCACAACCAGTCAGTTCCATAGGCACAGCAAAGGCTAGAACACAGCAATGCAGTCTTCCGTGCGGCATGTTCTCAGGTACAATCACCACCAGACACGGGGATCTCTCTGTCCCTTTCACGCTGATCATGATTTCATGCTACTCGACGCAGCCTCGTCTCGTCCCTTCATCTCTCCTGAGCTTCCCTGCCCTGCCCTGCCCTGCCCTGCCGTTTCCCTCCTCCTCTCGTCCCATGTCGATCCGCTTGCTCGACTACGGCCATTTCTTTTAGTTTGTCGTAGCAACATCCTTCACGGAGAGGGCTTGCGACAACTGGCTTTTATCATCAATTGTCCCAAACAATTAAGGTAATTTTGAAAATTACTGTTGTATTATTGAAAACTGATAATCAATTTTCCGGAGTTCTCAAACGTTTGCATCTTGCTGGGGCGCATCGCTTCCCTACCCTCCCACCCTCGTCGCAATTGTCTACCCCACCTATCCGGAATACCCTCAAAAAATATATGTTTGGACCGGGTCATCACTGGGCTATTTGGACCCCTATGAAGGGGGAGGTGGGGGGTCTCATCTCCGTTTTTTTCAAGTGAAACGTGGAGGAGATACCGCCAGATTAAATTGGAGTTTTAAATGTAAAACTTTATAATATGATGTACCTCTGATATAATGTACAATGGAGAGTATAAAGATATAAATTGTACAAAGTTTCATTATTTATAATCATGTAAGCTTGAAGGTACAAGAAATATAATCACGACAGAGAGATCGTGGGGGGCAGCGGAGGTACCAGGCTCAAACGTTTCAGTAGTGAAATTTTTGTTGGTACAATTTTTCGCTACAAAATTGTATGTCGCTATCTGTACTTTCCATAATTAGATTATTGATCACTGCAATGTACCAGCCCAGGGAAGACTGAAGTTGAGGTACAAATGTAAAATTCTTTGCAAACAAAAACCTTTGTGTATAACAACAATTTGCTGCCTTCCGGAAATGCTATCTAAATTAATAAATATTTGTAAAGTTTGCTTAAGTATTAAGAAAAGTAAGCCCGCCTGCGTTTTTGATTAGCTCTTTATCCGAGACACTTGTCAAAAATATTTTATATAAAATGTTCTTTTAAAAAAGGCCCTTTGGGTCGTGGCAGAGCGATGCTTCACTGCACCCAGACGCTTCTAGGCCATGGCAGAGCCGACGGGCGGGCAGGGATGCAGGGATGCAGGGATGCAGGTAGAGGAAGATCTGCCATCACACAGGAGGATGGCCGGACAGGGAACCTCTTGCTAGGCAGAGCCAGAGTCAACAGTTAAGCTTGCACGTACATGAAGCACTGAAACATATGATATGTAAACCAATGTAGAGATGGGAGTTGGGACAGAGTGCGATGAGAAGGGCAGATGGGGAGAGGGAGAGGAAGGTGATGAGCTTTGAAAGAGGAAATCCAGACAAGCAGAGAGTCCTGGTCTGATGATGTCTCGCAGGCCGCCAACTTGTACTGAGCAGGAGAAGGGGACCATGGACGAGGACGCTGAGAAGGAGCCGGTGGAGAGCTTGGAAGCTGAGAATGAACCGCAAGCTGTTGACGAAGCTGAGCAAGCGATCCCGCACAAAGATCCCGAGGACCTGGAGTCGAATGGCGACGAGAGCAGTCGAAATGCTGACGATACGGAAATACTTGACGACGTGAGATCTTGTGTGCTTGAACTTCGTCCTACCGTCCTGAGCAGCTGCTGTGTTGTGATACCGTTGCAGGAGAACGGACAACCCGATGCTGAGTCTGAAGAGTCTCAACCTCACTTTGCGCTGAACGATGTGAACATGTCCTGATCATGTTCACCCCTCGTCTGACATGTCGGCCAGTCCTTCGGTCCGAGCAAGGTCTCGCTGAACGGGATGCACCGGGATGAAGACAGCTCGCACCCGCGCTGGCGGCGGAGGAAGAAGCATGTCTTTGTTGTCTCCTCTGCCGGCAAGCCTATCTTCACGCGCTACGGGGACGAGGACAAGCTCAACCCGCTCTTCGGAGTGATGTGTAGGTTGTTGAGGTCCGGAGGATGGTGGGATCACCAAGGCTCTGCAGGCTCCCTTGTCTCCTTCATGACGCAGCATGACGACATACCCCGCGTCGTCTTCGCGGGAGATCACAAGATCGTTTTCCTGATCCGAGGCCCGATCTACCTCATCATGGTGTCGAGGACCAAGGAGCCAACTCCCCACATGGCGCGACAGCTGCAGTTTGTGAGCGGCGCGATGAGACCTTGATGCCTTGCTGTTGCCTTGCCCTTCCTCCCTCCTTCCCTCCCTCTTCCCCCCCCTCTCTCTC